GAATATTTGATTTCAAGAATAATCCATCCGTTTAATTTTTGTATCATAATCCCTTTTAACGGACTGAAACGAACTACATCTAAATCGGGAAGACGGAAACATATCACCCTTTCAGTAAGAACCTTGACCATTGAATGAACAGTGAAACCGGTTGGTCGACTGTCTTTCTGAGTCACATTTAAAGATGTTATTCGTCATGTTTAACACTTCTGTCGTGTGTGCCAGCAAAAGCACTGTTCAGTACGGTTCACTTTCAGGCACAGAAGTTTGTTGCGGTGTAAACGGGAAGATCTGAGTTTTGATACGTAAAGACCAACTTAGCTCCTTGACGTCACATTTCATTTCATTTTTCATTTCATTTATTTACCTCAAGGGCGTCTTTTGAGGACGCATTACATATGGGGGGTGGCAATAAATGGGAATAAAATATAAAAAAGAACGTAAGAACACTAACACAGCCACATCTCGTCTAACCACAAAGAAAACAAGATATTTATATATATATGCAAACAGAGATTCCCTACTAAATTGAACAAGAGCACGCACATTTCTTGAAACGTTGTAATATCTAAGTTGGTTACAAAATAATCTGGCTAGTTATTCCATTCTGTAATACACACTATAGGGAGAAAACATGAATGAGTTAATATCAGAACGGTATTGAAGGATTTTACATCTGTTGCCGTTTTAAGAAGAAATATAATGGACTTTTTGACAATAAATATTTCTGAACTGTGAATTACTGTGGTAAACTTTATGGAAGAAAAACATGCAGTTAATTTTGCGTCGTGTGGCTAATGAAGCGAGACCAAGTCTTAATTTTAAGGCGGAGACACAACTTTCTGGAGAATAATCGTTTAGAATGAACCGGTTGGCTTTGTTTTGAATTGACTCTAGGTTTGATATTAGATAATTTTGATATAGATTCCACACAACGCTTACGTATTCAAGTTTGGGTTGAATTGCTGTTTTAAAGGCGAGTAATTTTGTCGCAGCAGGGGCCAGAAGGGCTTTCCGCCTTAAAAAAGCCAATGATCTCGTTGAGCTGGCGATTATGTTGTCGATGTGTTCATTCCACGATAATGTTTCGGAAATATGGACGTCTACGTATTGTATAATGAGACGCTTACTAATTGTGTTGACAGTAATGCATATTCGCGCGATGATTTGATCGAGTTAGTGGCAACGGTCATATGTTTGCATTTTCCGAGGTTAATATTCATCTGCCAAATTGTGCACCAGGAGCTAATGATGTCGAGATCGTTTTGAAGAATGTAATGATCTGTTGGGTCATTAATTTTTCTGTATACAACACAGTCATCAGAAAATAGCCGAATGGTCGAGTTAATTGAGGGAGGAAGATAATTAATATAGATACAGAAAAAAGGGGGCCGAGGACGCTGCCTTGGGGAACACCGGAAGTTACTGAGACGGATGCTGATGAAGAACTGTTGACTGAAACTGACTGCTCTCTGTCTGTTAGAAACGAAGCTATCCAACTGATGACTGAAGGATGGATGTGGAGGAGAGAGAGTTTAAGAAGTAGTCGTTGGTGCGGAACGGTATCGAAAGCTTTGGCAAAATCAATTAAAATATCGTCGGTTTCTGCTGAGGAATGATTATTAAAGTGAAGATCCGTGGTAAATTTAAACAGTTGGCTGACAAATGAATGATGTTTCCTGAAACGGTGCTGGTTGGGGAAAAAAATCGCGATGGTCCAGGTACGAAATGATGTGAGTGTAAACTACATGTTCATGAGCCTGCACGGTACACTAGTCAACGAGATGGGTCGGTAGTTAGATGTATTGATTCGCTGCCCGATTTTAAGATGGGTCTAACTTGGGAGAAACGCCAATCTCTTGGTACCTCACCAGAATTCAGACTTTGTTGAAAGAGTATGCTGAGTATGTTGGATGCTCGATGATCAATTAGCTTAAAAATTTTTGCCAATATCCCATCGTTTCCAGGGGCGCTATTGGAGGACAAATTTGATATAGTTTTAAGAATTCCTTCAGGAATGAAAGTAGTTGAAGGTATCAACGCTTCATGATAAGGTGGGCAGTATGAGGGAAGTGAAGAGATTTCGTGCGTAAAAATGCTGGCGAAGAATGAATTCACTGAATCGGCAGCCTGGTCATCACGGAGTGTTTCACCTTGGTCATTTATGAGCACTGGGTTCTCTTTAGGTTCTTTTGGATTTATTATCTTCCAGAATCGCTTGGCGTTTGTAGATAAGATCTCCGGCAAAGTCACCGAAAATAAAACCTTTTTCGCTTTCCTAAGTTCGCTTTTACACAATTTTGTGAAAGTGTGGTATGATGACCAAACATCAAAATTATTTGTTTTCTTTGCATTTGGGAATAATTTTTATATTTAACATACGTTTAAATTTTTATTATTCCAAGGGGACGTACGATCACATCGAACGGAAGTTTTGGGAACACATTTTTCCAGTAGTTTTATGAAAGTATTTTAATGAGCACCCAGTTTTCACTTGCGGATCTGTCACAATTTGGTGAGATGTAATACCTTTCCAAGTTCGTTATGGCAACTGCCAATCCTTCAATATGGGTTTGTGAAAATGCGAATATCTTTTTCGGCGTATTTCGGAGCGCGTCACTCGTAACCATGTTTCGATTTAATTAAAGCATGATCACTTATGTGCTCGATGACCGTGGCGGACGTCACATATTCGGGAAAACCGATCTAATATCGCGACACGACGGGTTGCCGAGGTGATAATTTGTTGGAGACCACACACACCAGTTATAGAAAGGGACTCCTGTAAGGCCGCGGTAAATAGCGTGCATGTTGCGGCTGCTTCGCCGGCGGGTGTGTGTTCTCTTAATACTTGTTTTTGCTCCTGACGCATTCTGCTCGAGTGTTAAGAGCGCGTGGCGTATATGATGTGGCTGCCGCGCCGGCGGTGGGGTGTTCTTTTATTATTTGTTTTTGCTCCCGACGCGTTCGCTCAGTGTTCGGAGCGCGCGTGTTACCCGATCCGGGCAGTCGGCGCTCAGGCGCCGGCCAGGCGGCGAACAATGCACGGGCCGATTAGACGAGGAATTCGGTTTTGGCGGTTAGAGAACTGACGTTGTATTATATTTACTTTCGAGCGTTTATTGGACAGGTGTATACCACGTGGTCTTCTTCTGTTTTTAAAATTATTGGTCGGGGGTGGCCAGAGGGAGAGGGGGACCTTTCCTACAAAGGCCCGTGTCGGGCGAGAGAAGGGGGATTTTGGCGTATGAACTGGACGCGCACACAGACTTTGAGGTGCGCAGCAATATGATGTCGGGTCCCTGACTTGTTGTAACAAGGTACAGAGTCAGTAATAATTCGGAAAAATAAACACCTTGGAAAACATCCACCATCTAACGGCTCCTGGATTCGGCGGCAGCAACAGAAGACGCCGAAGATCATCTTCATCAACTCCGTACACTGTCGAGATTTTTGCACAGTCAGGGAGCGTCAATATGTTTGACCAGTTTGTTTCGGGATAGTTAATATTAACACCAAGAAAGAAATAATCAGTAGGAAATTCTTTTGTGACAGTTCCAAGGGCATGGTATATTGAAACGTTGAAATCAGCGATTAAAATGGGGTGGATGATAACAATCACCTACGATGACACAGCGAAAATCCAGTTTACTACGAGTCCACAAAATCTCGATATCAGAACAACATTCTACTTGCGAGCATGACACATGTTTTTTGACAGCGATGATTACGCCACCGCCTCCAGCCAGCAGTCTATCTTTACGAAAATTATTGTGCGATCTGTTTCAAAGGAGCTCATCATTTTTTATATCGGTAGTTAACCACGTTCCCTTTCCAAGAATGACGTCTGGCTGGCTAGAGCAAGTGACGTTCTCAAGTTCATTCTGTTTTGACAAAATGCTTCGAAAATTTGCTACAAAAAAAGAAAGGTTAAAAGAGACAGCGCGATTTGAACATTGTTGGTTTGATACTCTGTCTTGGTGGGGCGCACGAAGCAGAAAAACTGAGTCACTAGCTGCATCGTAAACACATGTCGCTGTTCCGGAATGTGGTTTATTGTAAAGAATCTTATATTTTGCCCCACTATTTCTAAATTGTTCAGCAAATTCCCACAAATCCTCCCTCGCTATACGCACATTATCAGAAAAGTCCTTCAATATCCTGATTTGTGGAGACACGTTTTTTTTTAGTTTAAAACGTTTTAAGAACTTATTTACTTTTATAACGCAGGAATTTTATGATTATCGGTCGACTGGATTCTGGTCGTTTCTACCCAATCGATGAGCTCTTTCATTTTGCCCATTTCTATGCCAAGAATTTCTCGGGCGAACCCATTGACGATGGTTTTAGCATCATTCCACGACTCATTTTCTATTTCGGGTAAGCTTTTGAATATTAGATTGTTTCGTCTCATTCTGTTCTCCCTGTCGCCGCCAACACTACTTATTTCACACAGGCGGTCCCGAAAAGAAACCGAGTCGGATTTAATACTATGTACCGTTTCTTCAACGGTGCTCAAATTCGCCCGCATATTTGTGATTTTATGCGCTTCGAGCTCAAGATTTGTTACCCGGACTGCAAGAGCAGCGATGCCGCTGCTGAGTTGGTCTAACTTAACAGAATTTCTCAAGCTGATTCTGGGCGGACGCCGTAACCAAACTCTCAACAGTTCTTTGCAGCTTATCAATTTTTGCGGCATTCGGGGGGGGGTCCGGGGTTAATGTCGACGTCACTGGCGGAGGTCAAAAGCATGAACATGACAATAGCCACAGTTAGCAACTTCACTGACCCGAACATAGCTCTGACATGAAGGGGTAGAACCTTTGTGTATAGTAGCGAGGTCGTTCTCTTTCTAGGTACAAAGCGGCCGATACGGGCTCGGTAGGCAACTATGACAACGGCCATCACAACAACCAGGCGTTAAAACAGTAACACAATTTGGGGGATTCACAGCCACTATAAAGTAGAACAGAATCTCGCACAGGAAGCTTAGCGCTCACCTGCAACGATATCGACGGTGTGAGCGTGACAGTGTCAGGGCCGTGAATTCCACGCTGTTCTTCGCGGCGCTGGCTTATGTAGTCCCGATGCTTGCTGCAACGACGTCCGTAGCACGTGTCTGGTCACGGGGTTGGCCGACTCGCTGAGTCAAGCTGGTCTAGTTGGTGTTTTCTTCGGAAGGTGTGAATGGGCCGATCGTAGACACCAACTTCTGAGTAGCGTGTTCACGGCAAATCTGCAACGACATCGACGGTGTGAGCGTGACAGTGTCAGGGCCGTGAAAGAATAGCTCTTTGACGTCACATGACTGCGGTGGCGCTGCTGTCGATACTGCGCATGCGTAGCGCCTCTCTTCTCCTGGATCTGGTTCCTGCACACGCGCTGCAAGGGTGACCGAGGGCGTATTTTCTAGACACTGTGCTGGTGTATACGGTGAATAAAATGCACACGAATTACTGCCTCAAGGTATTCGAGAGTAATGACAAAGTAATTTCAAGTAATTTCATTACTTTTGGAAAGTAATTTTAATGTAATATTATTGCCTTTAGTGTGCTGTAATTTGTAATTTAAATAATTACAATTTTACAGTTTTCAGAAAAGTAATTAGTAATGTAATTTAATTACTTCTTAAAAGTGATTTCGCCCTCTCTGATTCAAAGATAGTGTCGAGCACCAAAATGTGGAACGTGCATCAAACTCCGGCAAGATAGTAGCGAGTGCTATTCTACTAATTCGTCCGCACTGAAGGTAACTGCAGAGGAAGCAAACTCCAACCTAGAACAGTTCATGGATGTATCCGAGGTCGTGGAGCCCGACGGTGAAGTGGGGACAACGGTAGGTGCTCCTACCGTCAGCATGCTCTCCCTAACATGCGGTTCCGGAACAGAAAACGACAAGCAGCCGCAAATCCAGGAAAAGGACAGGCCTGTCATGACCAAAAAAATAAGGCGGAACCAACTGCGAACGAGAGCACCATATGCGGCGAAGGAGCCACAAAGAAACTGACGTCAACAACACCGGGTGAAAAAGGGACAACGGAACCAGGTCAAGAGAGCAAGCTCCTGAAAGACCACGAAGACAACGAGGACATGCGCATCGATATCGTGGCAACGGGCAGCCTCAATGCAAAACGAAACCAGCTGGACCCTGTCAGCACATACGCAAGTAAATGCTCAAACTCGTTTCGAAAGCCACTGACACGACAGAACCGTGAAACGCAGCCACCTTGAAAGTATGAATGGCGGCCTTTGCTTAGCCAGCACCAATGTAAGTGGTTTTCACTCCTGGAAGTAGCAGTTTCAGTTGCAGCGCTTACTTGAGGATAGGTATATTGATATATTTGCAAGGCACGAAACAAAACTGCCGAGAAAGTAACAAGTGCATGGATCGCGCCTTAAGTCCTTTCTTGAGCAAGAACAAGCTATGTGTCAGTTATGTTGTAGGACTTTCGGGGTAGTGGTAGGTTATTTTTGAAAAAAAAAATCTTTCAGTTATGTGAATGATTTCTCGTGGTTGATTGGCAAGGACTATTTGTTCTGAGCGACAGGACTTAAAGTGAAGGGTGATTTTCATATATGTTTCGAATGATGCAAATTCCCGTGTTCATTTTTTAATCATCCCCGCAGGAGGTACCTGTGAAAGCAGGTGTTTAGTGAGTGGCGTCAACACGGACATGTAGGTTCACCCACCCACGTCTGGCAGTGCGGGGCATTCCCGTGTCCGTTGAAAAGGGCATCCTGGTGGTTGAGTCGAGCCCGGGGTGTGTTTGGATTCTTTGAGCCCCCGAGCGAGGCATTACACCACTTTGGCCCCCGCGTCTTGGAGACGGGGGTCCTGGTAGGGTCCGGCCAGGATGATCCGGTCAGTCGCCAATTCTTCTACTGTCTCTTCTTATCTTTCACTGTTTTCCTGTATTTTTCCGTCCTTTTCTTTCTTCTTCGGCGGCGAGGGACAACCTTGGGTGGCAATGGATTTTAATATCTAGAACCAGACTTGGGTATTGTATTTTTGCGAGCGCTGGTTGAGTAGCAGTCTCAGCAAAGCATTCGTTTCTTATCAGGTGCTACCTACCCATTTGTTTCACTCGATAGTGGTGGCGAACCACACACGCTGAAGACCTTCCCATTTCCTATAGGTCCAATCAAATAAAAAAACCTGATCAGCCCTTGAAATAATTCTGGACCGAAACAACGTTACTTGATATCTCATCTCCTGTCCAATATAGCTCACTCGTTTATCTTTGATACATTCTGAACAAGCAGTAATTGTTTTAGAAAGGCTCTCACCATTCCTGATTTCCAAGACTCTTGAAAACCTAATCGACAAATACTTCAAATAAAAAAAAAAAGCTGTCATGTGTTGACTTACGCGTGAAATTCTTCTCCCTTAAGCTGAACAAGATCTCAGACTGCAAGGTGTCTGTAACCTCGCACTGTCCATTGAATTTATGTCAGGCCGTTATCCCTGGGGACGACCTGCTTTAGTAATGTCACGACGAGTTCTTGGAGGGCCTGCCTGGTCAAGGAGCCACTGCGGTGCGGCGAGTTTGGATACAAAGAGTCGAAACCGAGACACACGTAAGAAGCATGCAATTCTCACATTTTCTTCTACTTTGTTACCTGTTACCTCACAGCGTCAAGGCTGGCTATCTTCACTGTAAGGTTCGTTCCTACTTACATCCTAGACGTTTAAATTCCAACGATTTGGTCATAGTTAGGATGCCTGTCGAGAGAAGACGACATGCTCAATGTGTAGAAGTGTACACCAGCCAGCTGACACATGCAGGAGTACTGCTCTGAAGTGTGTCGACTGTTAAAGGGCCTATCCTACATACTTTCGATGAAAAGAAAAAGCTCTACGTGTCACTGCCACAACTCATCTGACTTAGTTTGCGAGCAGTTCGTCAGTGCACTAAACGCCACATTTCTGAATTCACATTAACTGAGCTAAATAATGGGCCATTTTAGTTTTATGAACTGGAACTGTCGGGGTCTCCTACATAATATTGATGATATTAATTACTTCCGTAGTGATTTATGCCTAATAGCTATGGCATTACACGAGACTCATTTGACTTTCAGACACACACAGGTTTTACGGAACGGTCATATTTTCCGCAGAGGTTGAGCGTCATCTTACTTTTCTGGTGTTGTGGCAGATGTTATGCAGAGGGGAGTAGAGTGTTCAGAGGTCCCTCTTGACACCCTGCTCGAGGCTGTGGCTGCGCGAGTTTCGGTGACCGTCTTATCACTGTTGTATTGTTGTACCTCCCACCGCACGATCTCACACACATGAATGACCTGCAGAAGCTCATTTCCCGACTTCCACAACCCGTCTGAATACTTGAAATGTTAATGCTCATAACGCTATAGGGGGAAGTGCACTCTTCATTCTCGTGGAGGAGTTACTGAGCGACTTTTACTGTCACCAATGTATGTCTTGAACACAAAAGCACCCGCCTTCCTCAGTTGAGCACATAACACATTTACCTGTATTGATCTATTGGTTTCAGCACCATTATTGTTTTCATGCTTTACTTGCAGGGTTTTGGGCAACCAATTCGGGAGTGATCACTTCCCAATTCTCTTAAAAAGCTCTACTGATCTTCCCACCCGTTTAAAACGGTTGACTAGGTGGAAACTCGACAAAACAGACTAGGAACGTTTTAGCAGATGGTTCTGTTCTAGCTGCACTGTCCCCTGATGAGGCAACATTACACGTTACCGACCATATAATGCATGCTGCTGAACAATTTATATACCACGTACTTCTGGGAATCTACCCAGAAAATGCAAAGCACGGTAGAATTGTGAGTGTTAACACACACTTGAAAAGCAAATTAAAGTAAGGGACAATTTTTTAGGTACCTTACGGTGGAAAACAAAATCGAATTTAAAAGGCGAAAGGCGCAAGCTCGTCGGACCAGAAAGCAGTTTATGAAGGAATCCTGGATCAAATACATCTCCACTATAAGTAGATTTTTGTTCGTGTAGAAAAAATTAAAAGTCAACTACCGTGGTTTAACTATGCCAGTTTTTATTTTGCCTTTTGGGTCGGTCAAAGATGTTTCCAACGAGCTCGCCCAGCATTGTCTAATTGTGTCGAGCTCCAGTAACTACAGAGTAAAATTTAAAGAGTTCAAATGTCGATCGGCAAGCCATTCGATTTGCATGTCGGGGGCAAGTTTTGAGCCATATAGGGTGACTTGTACGATGCGTGAGCTAGAACAAGCTTTAGAAGCCAAGAAACAGCCTGCTCCAGAGCCTGATGCACTGCGCTATAAAATACTTTAAAAGCTATGGGACGAATCCCTCGAAGCTCTGCTTCGTTTCTTTAAGTCGTTGTGGGAAAAGGCATGTATTCCCGAAGCGTAGAGGCAGTCTCACATTATCCGCCTTATGAAGCCTGGAAAAGATTCAATAGTGCCTTTCAGTTATCGACACATTGCGTTGTCCAGCTGCCGGGGGAAAACGCATGAAAGGCTAAGTTACATGCTTTTAATATACATTTTCGGAAAAGAAAATTTGTTCATAAATACTCAGCGTCGTTTTCGTGAGCACGGTCTGCTGTGGACCACTTAGTTTGGTTAGAAACAACAAACTGTGAACCCTTTATGCACAAGCAACTAGGCATTCTGTTTTCTTTTTTCTCAGAAGAAAGCGTATGATACAACACGGAGGCTTGAAATCCTCAGAGAGCTGTGCGGTTATAGTATTAGGCGGCGTATCTTGAAATGTATGTGACTTTTTAAGAAACAGGGCATTTCAGTTTAGACTAGACTGTACCGTATCGGATCTGTTTATTTAAAAAAAACGTAATTCGTCAGGCGGGGACGACAAACCCTGCCTCGTCCATATTACCGCCATCTATCACATACACGTTTTTATGTTGATGATACTCATATTTGCCCCTCCTCCTGTAACATTTCTAGCTGTGAACACCAGCTTCAATTAGCCCTAAACAAATTGGGTACTTGGGCAAATTAAAACGGTTTTAAGTTCTCCGCCCCCCCCCCCCCCCCCCCCCCCCCCAAGGAAGAACAAAACGATCTCTTTGCCATTTTGTTTGCACATGGGTTGCGTCTTAGTCCATAACTTCAATTCAAAGGAACACGTTTGCGTTTTATCATCGAGCATACGTTTTGAGGAGTAATGTTTGACGAAAACCTAATATTTATTTCACACATTAAGTCCCCCCCAAAAAGTGTCTCAAAATATTAATATTTTAAATGTTCTAGCTCACAAGCAT